ACCTCTGGTGCAAATTACTGACCTCTGTCATCATTTTAAGTGGGGGAACTTGCACAATCGGTGGCTGACTAAATACTTTTTTGCCCCACTGTATATACCGAGGTCCCACTTTTACACCCACACCCACCCTGGTCATTAAAAAGCATATAATCAGAGCATTTCCACATCCATCTTTTGTAATATGTGCCGATGCAATGGATACGTATGCTTCCTTACATGATGTGCTCATCAAAATCTCTGCATGGCAGATCGAAAATATCCTTTTAAGTCCCACAAAGAACTGTATATTAACCCAGCCTGTGACGAACTGTCCAGCTTGTGTTCCACCTCTCACCCTGCGTCACCTGTGATATGCTCCAGCAACCCCGAGTCCCAACCTGATAAACTTTAAATTTCCTCTTCATCACAAAACAGAACTGACTTCCCGAAGTCATGGGTTTGAATTGTCTTCTTTATTGACAAACAGTGCATTGTAAATGTAAGAGTCAGAAAGTTTACAGCTACAAACTCACGCACAAAATACAAACATTTTACTGTACACTGAACAGCACTCACACGCACACACACATCCACACGCACATTATATTACACCCACACGCGCACACAAACACACAAAGATGCACAGGCTTGCGCATATTCACATTATTTTACAGTATTATAATACATGACAGTGGGATGCTCTGACTATATGAGCAGTAACACCTAGAACGTTATTGTTGGTAAACAGAGAAAGGCAGATGCAGCTGATTATTGAGCTGCTTTTTCTTTTTTCAAGAGAAATAGTACATTACATACATACTAAAAGGTATGGCAAGCAGTTCGAAGGAAAATAAATTACCATGAGAAAAACAACAAAGTGGAAATTTCTGCAGAGGGAGTGTGCACAGCCAGCCTGCGGTTTAAAGAAACACTTTGTGTAAAATGAGATTACAAAGCTCAACGCAAATATTTATACATTCGGGCAGAAGACATATATTGTCACAGTTTGGGGAAATATGCTCATCAGAATTCTTTGTATTTATTTATTTTTTTCCATTTTTCTTTGTTTTTTTTTTGCAAAAGACATTCCCCGTACAAGTTCTTCATTATTTTCTCCTGTATTTGTGAAGTTACACAAATATTTTTGTAATTGAAATACTTGTGCCTTTTGTTGTAGCTTCATCCCCGTCATTTCATAACTGCGCCAAATGATGTGGCATCCTTTTGGTGCCTAAGCCAGACAACTTGAAAGTCACAAAAAAAAACTCAGTAAAGAAAGGGTCACACATGGGAGTCGAACCCTCGACTCCTGGATGAAAGTCTTGTGGATTGCAGACTTCATCAATCATTTAAATAAGAACGTCTCTTCCCGGAGAGCTTGAAATGCAACTGAAAAGAACTTGCAGTTGTAAGGGAATATATTTTTCCGAGTGAAAGCAAACTCAAATGTGTTTTCAGCTAAGCGCTAACGTTAGCGATTTAATAACGACCCCAAATTATGAGGCTAACTTGCTCATCAGGTATGATAGATGTTCACAGTTTAGCTTAGGTAGCACGCAGCAACGAAGTACAGCTGAGGCTGATGTGAATTACTGCTGTTTCTCAATTATTTGGTTATGAACCAAAGTATCGGACACATTAATCTAATGATGAAGCTTTAAATGTAGCAATATCACCACACAAATTACAACTCAACCCGAGGGGAACGTGAACCAAATTTCATTGTGATCCACCCAATTTACGTAAATAGCAGTTTCTGGTAACCCACAGTTTTGAATATGTCACAGGGGGGCAAGAAGGAAAAATCAGAGGACCACCAAAGTCAGCAGACTTTATCTGTTTGGGCCTATTAATTTCTGCTGAGCATCCCAGAAAACCCCTTTCTGCCCTTGCAGTGTGCACAGCCACAGCGAGGTCAGCCTGATAAATCGCTGTGAACGACTTGGCGCGAGGAGCAAAGCAGGTGGAAAAGAGGAAAAGCCCATTACTTCCACAGCTCCGGCATAAATAGTTTGCTGAAAGCCCACAACAAAACAGTGCGGGGGTCTTTTATGTAAAGAATAGGCGCCAATATATCCTTAAGAGATGCAAGTTCAAAACTGCTGGAGAGAGGAGTGCTTCTAACGCAGAACGATTGCTTGCCTTCAAACTCTGAGTGAAAAAGAGACGGTGGAAATGCGGACTGGAAGCAGAGCGAGCAGTTCAGAGAGGCTGTGGGCATTAGGAGAAGGAGGACAGCTGGGTAGAGCAGAGAGGGAGAGAGAGAGACAAAAAGAGAACGAGTAATCTCTCCACACCCAGCCTCATTTTTATTCAAACACAAGTCGAGCTTTGCCTTTGCTCCTCCACCCCTCTTCTCTCTTCTTCTGCTAATCCTTCCCCTTCCCTTCTTTCCCCTTCTATTACCTATTCCCTTTTACTTTTTCCTCCCCTCTCTTCATAACTCTCACGCGCTCATCTGGTGCCTCACCTACAGTATCTATTACACCAGAGAAAAAGCAGAGGAGAAAGAAAAGCAGTCCAGTCTGACCAGCTTTCAAAAGAAAAAAGAAAATCTGCAATTAAAAGATAAATCCACCCTAAAGCACTTAGAGGAGACTCACCCTGCATTTCTGGGCCTACTTTGTTGTTTAGGTGTCTACTTTTCTCATTTTTGTGCGTAAGTGGCTAAATATAGTGTGACGGCTACAGTGGAGTCTGAAAGGCAATTTTATCTTAAAGATCTTGCGGTAAATGTCGGGTTTTGATGAGAGTTCTGCAGAATAACTGAATGAGGGCTTTTGTCACGTGTGCCTTACAGCAGCACTTACAGCGAGCAGAGCACAATGCATTGGAGCTGCATCAGACATGGAGTTTTCGCAAACGAGATGGGCTGTGGTCACGGATACGTTCACGTGCTCCCAAAACGATCAGGTGCCGCTTTATGTGCAGGCGTGCAAATGTCAACACGACACAAAAGCCATGTGAAAAATGTATAAATGACAAGTGGCATATCACGTTAAAACAAAAGCAGTTCCAGGTCTGTGTTTTCGTACTTGGTATGCAAAAAAACTGAAGAAGAAGAAAAGAATCAAAAAGAGAGTGTGGGTCTGTATTTTCACCAGAGACTTCCTGTCTCTCTGCACACACAAACACAAACACATATGGGCATGCACAGTGGTTTACCATCATCTCAGGTGCCAGTAGCATGAAAAGAAGCACTGCTGTGCAAGAGCGAAGACAGGGAGTAGTGCTAAGCAGTGTTAACATTGCCTCTGTGCACTCGAGCCAACTGATATGATGAACACTTATTACACTACTGTGATAATAAATTATTAGGCATTGAAAAGTAGTCTGAATACGAGGCTGCAGCATGACTGCAGCAGCCAGCATCAGCAAACTCTGCATGCAGAAGGAAAACTAGTCACAAGATAACAGGATAACAAGCACTGAGTTTGCTGACTGACTCTGATACAAGTCTTACAGCAGTCCTAAAGTTTCCAATTGGTGTCTTTGGCAATCTTCTGCACATAGGAAGCATCTCAGGCAGTAAGGAAAGGAAAGGAAATTGAAAACTGGACTGCGTTTGTAAAAAAAAATGGGGAAAATAATGGGCGAATGTTGCATACACCACTTATACACTGCTCCAAAAATTAAAGGAACGCTTTAAAACACAGCAGATATCAATAGGAGAAATATCATGCTGCATATCTAGACTGATACGGACTGGGTAATGTGTTAGAAATGAAAGGATGCCACATTATTTCATGGGAATGAAAATGATCAACCTGCAGAGGGCTGGATGGAAGAATACAACTGACATGAAATTATGATGTTGAAAGCTGGTCTGCTTTGCAAAACTGTCATTTTGCTGACCCAAAATGGTACTCAGCAGTTTGTTTGGCCCCGTCTGCTTTGTATGCTTGCCTGAAATTGTTGCCGCATGCTGCTAATGAGAAGACGGATGCTGTACTGAAGAGACCTCCTCCCAGACCTGGACCAGGGCATAGCTGAGCTCCTGGACAGTCTGAAGTGTAACCTTGTAGCATCAGCTGAACTGAAAAATTATGTCCCAGAATTTGTCTGTTGGATTTAGGTCAGGTTGTCATGCCGGCAGCAGTGACACTGACCCCAGCCAAATGCAAAACTAGTAAAAAAAAATCCAGAGGGACAAAATATCAGTCCACCTGTAAAACTATTCCTGTTTTGGGGGTTGTCTCACCGGTGCCCCTCTAGTCCACCTGTTAGTCTGAAGTAGCTGAAACTGATTAAGAACCCCATCTACTACTTAACTGGCCAGATTAATAGCCCAGAAGTTTAATGGTCTTGATGCTACACTCTGATTAAAAAGTAGTCCTTCAATGTTTTTGAGCAGTGTACGGCAGTGACAATGTAGCCACACAAAAAAGCATACCCAACTTGATGATCTATTTAGCTCCAAATGGGACTATAATTTAGTAAATGAACATAGCATTATATTAAATAAGACAGTTAAAGGTACTTTGGCACTGCCTCCAGTTTTTATACCCAGTGCCTACCTCTATGTTGTATACACAGTCTGTGGTTTGTAGTAATGACCAGCAAAGTCACACATACAGCTATGGCGAGCATAGAGGGGAAAACAAGTCACCATCTGCTCTGCTTCAAACAAGCCATCACACAGGACTCAACAGAGTTCAAAACACTGTTTAAGGTTATTCTTCCATTTTTAACACTGGCTAGATTCTCAGCACATAAAATGCCGAGTGGGAGAAGTGTGTGACCCAATGTGCAAGCGTATGACTTGCCAGTGAAGCGTGGTTGGTCCTGGTACGAATCAAACTCGGAGCACAAGATGAGTTCATTTAGTTTCTGCCAGCAGTGTCCCCGGATAGGGCACCTTTAACTGGTTCACACTGACAAGAAATGATCCCATCCGCAGAGCGACGGACGCCAACCAGACTGGGTCTTCTAAATGTCAGCGCTAATTAAACTTCACACGAACACGTATAAAATATCTCCCTCGTCCTGTCTTACACTTATTTTCTGCCGTGCTTTCAGAGCTACTTTGCCACCATCCACGATTAGTTTTCATTTTTAGCAAGCTGTCACTATGCTTCTTCGCTTCTTTGTGCGGGCATGCCGATTTTCTTTTTTTGTTGACTATACTCTCTCTTGTTGCTTTTCCAGCAGGCGCACACTCTTCAGACTAGAATTAGTTTCTAATGTGGAACTGGGACACAGCGAGTGTCTTAGGCAAACTTTTCATCTTCAAACTTTTAAAAAGTTGACAGTGAGTGGGAGATATTTTTTTTCATCATTTTATTTTACCATCACATTTCATTGTCTTTGTTTAGTTTAGCTCGGCTCACTTTTGTGTGTGTGTGTGTGTGTGTGTGTGTGTAAAAATAGCAAAAAATGTCAATGATGGACTGTTTCTTTCGAAATAAAAACTTTTCTATAGGAGAGAAAATGAGAAAAATCTAAAACTTAACACAGTTTAGCCTCAAGCTAGAATTACGCATACGTTACAGACAGCATAGCTACATATCTGGCTCCTGACTTGTTTACATGCTCTCCTTTCTTTTTTATTATTATGATTTGTTTTTAGGCAACAGATTCAGGGTGGATTAGCTTTTAACTCAGAAACCCGCTTTCACAAACTCCATCATTAACACTCAAATCATCCTCCTGACGTTTCTCCCGGCATCCCCTCTGTGGCGAACACTTGTGCTTGAACCAAGACACGCAACGGTATAAACACAAGACGTGTCATAGATCACTTATGCCTTCATTGGGGTTTGGTTTTGTTTTATCACAAACACTGACACAGCAACATGTGAAATGGTTCCCAAAACTAACATTTACACTTGCTGAGAAGAAAGAAAAACATGAATCGGAAGAGCAGACACACTAGACTACAGATGTTACATAACGCAGCAAGATGCCTGTCTGTGTTGATAGTTTTCATTTCCTCTGCATGAATTTTGTTTCTTTTTCGTCTATTCTTTTCTTAGGTGGCATTCAATATGAGCTTTTAGGGCGCACTAGTTGTCTCGCTCTTTATTAAACCCCGGAGCCAGGGCTGAAACCGTTTTCTTTCTTTTTTTTTCCACAGGCATCTATTCACAACGAATTATGCCTCTGAACTACTGACACGCTCCCAGTTGATCTCAATACTTCCTGATAAAATGCTCAATAAGCTGCTGTTGCCAGGCAACAAATGCAATTGCGGGCCGCGCCGTTGGAGTGGAGTTTCGGGGAAACAAGTGCAAACTGAAATGTTTGGAGGTTTTGTTTTGTTTTTTTTTTCTTCTTGGGTTTAAAAAAAAGAAATGAAAAGCCACAGACCCCTTCAATGTCACAGTGTTCATAAATAAAAAGACTTTGGGGCATCCCAGCAGTGGCGAGCGGTGGTGCGAGACAAACACAAACACAGCATTTTTTTATTTATTTTTTTTTGTAGGAGCCATGCAGCAGTGAAAGCGTGTTAAAAGCAAACAACTGTCACTTCTGTCATCATGAGCCCGAGCTCACAGCGGATGACAAATAAAATCATAACATCCAATCAGAGGTGCTGATGGGTAATCCGTGCACGCGTGTGACCAGAGGGGATTTTTTTTTGGCGGGGTGGTGGTGGTTGGAGGCAGAGCGAGCCTGCTGTTGTTTCACAGCTGGTAATCCGCTCAGCGCTGAGATAAAAGAGATCTCCCAGTGCTTCTCCACCAGTGTGCCCTGTAGTGAGATCAGGCCTTCTTTATATCATATTTTGTTAGGACGAGCTTCAGTATTTAGAAAAAAAGTCACCAGTTTTGCCTCTTCACTGAAAACGTGGTATTTCACTTTATCTCTTCTTGTTTGATCTCTTTATCTCTTCTCTGACACTGAAAAGGTTGCAGTCTGCAGATGAGGAACACGGATAGGTCATTTCCTGTCATTTCATCTGCAAACTGACGCGGCGGTATTAATCGGAGATGTCAATCGGGAAATGAGACTGTCAAAACAGGCTCTGACGGCAACGTGTCCGACGAATAAGAAAAATGAATGAAAACAGAGTCCTGCATGGCTGCCTGCTGCTGAGCGATGAATGCCACCTGGACGGCGGCCATGACAAAGTTTAGACGGGGAGATCTGTTTCCACGCGTGGACAGAACATGAGCGTTGGATTTCTGATTGGTTGGCAGGCGGCTTTAGGATTTGCAGCCAAATCACAAGAACACTGGATACCTTTGGTGTCTTTTAAAGATTCTCTGGACACCGCAGCGCTTTCACAACAGGTGCAATCTCGATAGCTGGTAATGACACAGTACCCACAGTCTTAAGCTGCTTTATTCTTCTGCGCCACCAAGCATGCATGCGCTTTGATTCCTGGCTCAGAAAAGAGAGACATACCACTATGGTTTGAATATTTCTAATTGGCTTTACTCAGTGGGCATTTGTGCTGATTGTGAAACATCATCCATTATGAGTTCTCTGTGAATTAAGTACTTTAAGTAGGCCAGGCCCTGGTAGCACTTTCACTGAAAGAGTTTATCTTTTCATGGCTGCATGGAAAGTACAAAAAAAAAGAAGGAGAAGAAAAAAACCAGAACACTGAAACCTATTTTCTTTCTTTTTTTGTCTGCAGTCCACAACACTTCAGAGTTTGCTCCAGTGATGATTCAGGCGGGGAAGAGAATCGTTGAGAAGTCACAAATACTCCAGCGACACTGAACTGTCTGTTGCTGTTAGCGAACGCAAACGCTAATGAGCAAATAGGAAAGAAATATCCCGTATCACAAATATGTACAAACTCTTCAATATGAAGATAGCTTTTTTTATTAAAAAAAGGTCCCCTTTAAACGGTTGGCTCTTGTCAGGATTCAGATGGTAGCAATTTTTCAGGAACACGCTGAAGTAGTCTCTGGATTTAACAAGCCTGCTCGCGCGTCTCGTCTCTTAAAACCCTTTTTGTCAGTCTTTTGGTCCGGTTTGTGCCCCTTCATATAAACGTCTGCTCAGCCACTTTCTTCTTCAAAGCAGAGTGTTTTGTGTCCTCATATAAAAAAAACAAAAACAAAACAAACTTCCTTTAATTCAAGATGGTTTAAATGGTCTGTAGATTTCAGTGATAGCATTCACAGTTACGCTAGCATGTGGAAAAAGGGGGGTAATGATTTTAGAGCCTCATGCTCAGTAAGTTTTCCTTTTTTCCCCACTTATTTTTGTTTTTACTCTTTGTGACAATAATGCATCTACACTGAATTTCTCCCAGGAGCCATTTTCGTTTTGGAAGCTAAATGGCGTGAAAGAAGTCCGTCCTGTCACTGGGGGACGGATCTGTCCATGCAGACACACAAATGGCTAACGATGATTTTTTGAAAGCGCGTGAAGTGATTGAGATCTTCAAAAGCAGCAAACTTAATTGTATGAGCTTAAAAACAGAAGTATAGGACAGCCTGCTCGCTCACAGACTGCACCCAGGTCGAGTATTTCCCCCGTGTGGCTACACAGATTCGGTGGGAGACTGATCATCGGCTTGGTGCCTCATCAGCTGCACACTGGTCAGGATCTTCTTCTGGTGTCCGGCTAGAGACACTCCAATCCTCTGCAGATCTCTGGGAAGACAGAAATACGGATATGAGGTTTTGTCTTCATAACAACAATCAAATATAAATTAATCACTCCATGTAGTACACCATGTAGAAAATCAGTGTTGTGTCTGTAAAGTGCTTTGGGGTCCTTAGGGACTAGTAAAGCGCTATACAAATACAGGCCATTTACCATTTTACCATCCTAGGCCCTCTGCTACACCTGACCCACCTCCCCCTTCCTGTTTTTACTGTCACTACCCAAAAAAGGCACAAAAAAAAAAATCAATTTTTATATGGTTATCATTGGAACTGCTGTCTGTAGGATTGTAAACCAGGAAATCAACACTACAGTAAACATGAGCAGCGCTTTAACTGGCCAAGAAAAGGTGCCAGTGCTCACAACAGCTTGAACAGGTAGTAGAGTCTGTTTGTAACTGCTACAGATTAGTAGCTTGTGTTTAACTAACAGGGAAGATACAGGAGAGGCCATCACTGAGTTATAAAGTGGGTGTGACTAAGGTGTAAGGTGCACCCATCCTTGTTGGCACGATTGTCATAGCAACAACAACCACTCACTGACAAGCTTCAATAAACTGCTAGCATCAACTAAGCTAGCTCTAGCTCAGTTAATGCTAATGGCTCACCCACAACTATCAACTTCTGCTACACTTTGATATTGAAATGGACCTCGCTCTCTCGGGATTTGGAAAGCGGTTTGAATGGCTGGAGGATCTGAATAAATGTGACTGGACTGGAAAAACTTTTTTTTTTTTCAGGATTTCAGCATGAACACCACAAATAATAGCAAAGCAATGAATTCACAATTCAGTTCTGTAACGCATGACGTCAACCCATTGAAAGTGAATGACAGGCCAGAGTGTCGAAGCCTAAACCGCAATACACAAATCCTGCCTCAGTGCAGTGCCGAGTTGTTTAGATGAGCAGCTCTTATATTTTTGCTAAAAGTGGTTGTCAGTCAAGACTTGTTGCTGCCTGCTCCAGTCTGTGCGTGGGTGCAGGGGCACACATACACAAACACGGGCATGTTTGTGGGTTATCTTTGAAAGGACATTTATTGACATTAATGCATTCTCATGTCTCTTGCTTCTAAGTTTAACTACCGCAACTGAGTGCCACACTATTATCCGAACTGTAACCTAAACCGGCTTTAACCTTAAAACTAAAACCTTTAACCTAAAAAAAATTAACAAACTTTGAAGAGGTGCTGATCCGAGCCAAACTGGTTTTCACAAAGATGAGTGGACAAGTCCAAACTATATTTTTGACTAAGTTCTTATGTAAGGATGGCTTTGGTTTTCTGTAACAAATAACAGATTGTGGGTTGCATAAAGCTGCAACCCACAATCTGCCCATTCTGTGCAGCCACAGTTTGAACTGGCACAATCACACACAACATTCAGTGAGTGCATCCTTAGAGCTGTCCTCCTTTCGGTACAGTAGCTTTGTGATTGCTTTCATGTTTGGCGATATTGGTAAGTGTTAGCTGTTAAGAAAAAAAACAGCCCTGGTTTAGACACACTCTGAATGTTTACTGCATTAGCATATACTGTGTAATAACTTCCTTTCTTAATTCGGTAAATAGGTACACCATCCATTGCAGAAAGATTTATGTAGACTGAAAATTTGAGGCATCTTGAAGCCCTTCCAGTTACTGTTCGCCTAAGCCTCATCAGAAATGGTCTCAGTGGAAAGGTGGCTGTCAAGACGCTGTGCCTTAGGGACTGAAACAGGGAAAAAAGGCTAAATCATACAAAACTACACAAGAACTGGATTGAAAATCAGTGACAACAGGTCAACTACAACAGTGAGTGTCTAAAACCATCTGCAGAGCAAAGTGTCCTAATTTGGGGGTTTGAGGATCCTGTCTAAACTGATGGAAATCAGATTTTTGGTCCACCATGCAATACCATCTGGAAAGTGCCTGACTGGCAACAGCTTCATTTTTCAGCATGACAGTGATCCCAAACACACTGCCAATGCAGTAAAATCATACTTGGACAGACAAAAATACACAATGGAACACCATCAGTCATGGATTGACCTCCACAGAGCCCAGATGAAGCAGCGTGGGATTATCGTGACAGAAAACAGAACAAAAGGCAGCACAAATGCAAAGAAGAGCTGTGAATGACCTTTGAGAAGCCTGGAGAACTATTGCTGAAGACTACTTAAAGAAAGCACAAAAAGCTTACCTAAGAAAGTTGAGGCTGTTTTGAAGAATAAACGTGGTCATTCCAAATACTGATGTTTATGAAGAAAGTCAATATTTATAACTATGTATTGGGCTTATATTCTATAATTTCTACTCATGTTTCAAAAACTACTGCTGCAGCTACTCTCCATTTTACCAGCAAAATATAAAGAAATGATGGGTGGTCAAAGACATTTGCACTGTACTGTACATTAATACATATTAGCTATGTAATAGCAAGATAGCATGGGCAGAAATTTGAAATCAGTACTATTTTAGAGACTGAATACCTAATTAAAAACTCCTAAAAAGTGACTTCAGGTAGGTATTCCCTCCATTTTTCTCATATTAGTGATTCATTTTGCATGAAAAGTATTTTAAAGTTCACTCAGTATTCCAACTCTGGCTTTATTACACCGTAACTGTGTTAAAATACACTTAATTAATCCCGTTGGTGAAATTTACCCTCTGCTTTTGACCTATTTTAGGAGTGGTAGACAGCCACAGTGTAACCAATGGGGACCAGCTCAAGGTAAGGGCGGCAACCACGGGTGGACTATTCACAGATAGAAAATTAAGGACAGGCCCAGCAGCTGTCTAAATGAATTAAAGAGACACCTCACACACATATATGCAATCTTTGCAGGGTAATTCAGACAGGAAAAAAGTGATCAACCCATTTCTTCTAATGACAAAACTCATGACATTCATTGATTAAACCCTGCTAAACTGTGCAAATTTCTTTCATGGACGCATTGCTTTTTATTTGTCTGTGATATAATGGCAATTGGAGCATTTTATACCATGAGGCACAGAAAAAATAAGGATGGCAGTAAGCAAGCCAGATACAGAGAGACAGACAAGTGTTCACACAGTCAGCCAACCAGCTGCCCCACCAGTCTTCCAACAAAAAAGATGCCGACTTGGCAGGATCAGCTAAGTGTGAGACTCAGGCAAAGAGAAGCAGACAGACAAAAATAGAGGCAATTTAATGGCTAAACCTACTCAGCTGTGATTTGCGTGACGAGCGGCAAAGAGGTGAAGCCCGAGCCCAGAAAGGAGTCTCTGTACTGGGTCATCTTCAATGCAGCCAGCCAGTCTTCTACTGAGCTCACCCTGCTTAGGTCTGGAGCTCCACGGTCTAACAAGGGATGATGGGGAGGACTGCAGAGAGTAGATACAAGAGAACGTGGAGTTTAAAACAGAGGGAAACAGAGGGATAAGATAGGGAGAGTGTGTTTGTGTATGTAAATGAGTTTGTATCTCTGCTCACCCAGGGACCATGTTGTTGGTGCCGGCTTTGAGAGATGCAGGGTTGCGTATCATTTTGTCCAACATGCTGACAATATCAGGGAACTTTGGCCGGGCGTTTCTGTCTTTCTGCCAGCAGTCCAGCATCAGTTGGTGCAGCACTACTGGACAGTCCATGGGAGCTGGAAGTCTGAAGTCCTGCTCTATGGCATTTATCACCTAGGGCACAGCAGAAATGTCACACAGGAAAAAGAGAAGAGCCAAATGACCACAAAAGGTTATAGAAGAAAACTGCAGCATGATGTATATTTAAGGCTCACTGGGGAAAGCTTATATAATCAGTATCTTTATAATAAAGCTTTGGCAAGGTTTAATGAGAAAGATGTAGCTTATTAAATCCGTGCTATTCCTGGTCTTCTATTTTCCCCCTTCTAATTTGTACTTCCTTTGGACCTACTATTGTACAGCTTTCCTTCTCTCCATCATTAACTTATGGTACTTTTGTGTTCAGGAAGTTTTCAAAACCAATCACATCACAAGGGTCACGCTCCAAAGAGTCCAGCTCTATCTCCTACCTGTTTGGGTTCTGACTAGTCCAACTGCCAAATTTTATTTTATAAACAATGTACATTCAATTCAATTTTATTCACATAGCGCCAAATCACAACAACAGTCACCTCAGTGTGATTTATATTGTAAGGTAAAGATCCTACACTAATATAGAGAAACCCACAACAATCAGATGACACCCCATGAGCAAGCAATTGATGAGAGTGGGAAGGAAAAAGGAAGAAATCTCCAGCAGAACCAGGCTCAGGGGGTGACAGGAGGAAGATGGGACAAAAGACATACAGTGCAAAAGAAACAGAGTGAAGAAGAAACACTCAGTGCCCCCAATACCAAACCAGGCTAACTGATCCAGCCCTGACTATAGGCTTTATCAAAAAGGAAAGTTTTAATCCTTATATTAAAAGTAGAGACGGTGTCTGTCTCCCGAATCCAAACTGGGAGCTGCCTTCACAGAAGCCTGAAAGCTGAAGGCTCTGCCTCCCCTTCTACTTTTAAAAAAGTAGAATGGGAGGCGGAAGCCAGCACCCTTAGAGCAAAGTTCTATATTGGGGTGATATGGTAGCAGTCATCTCTAAATGATCTATAGACTTTTAAACTTGAAGAAATTAATTAGATAATGATATAATCATAGATAATGATATAGCTCTATAGACCATTTGGGCATCTTAATTTGCTACTTTAGTTTTATAATTGCAATTTATAACAGTCACTGGCAATACAGACAGTAAAAAACATACATGTAGTTTCTTGGTCAACAAAAAGAAATCAACATGGAAGTAGCATAAACCTGCATTCTATCTAAAGGCCACCAGATGGCGATAGTTGTGGTTGGAAAAACTCTTCCGGTCCTCCAGAAATTTGGAAAAAGGGCTTTTTGCCTTGACCTCTGTTAAAGTTTTTCCCACAGAATTTATGGTCTCAGCCACTTTTGGGATTTGGGTCATACTGAAAATATTGTATCCGTGTTTTTAATGTCGGTTATACTATATTTCAAATGGGATTATCTATGGTATGAAACCTGAATGTTCATTGGCTAATGACTTGTCAGTCACAAGCCAGTTTCACAGTCAGACCAGACACTCTTTGTCACCAACCAAGATGCTAATGTTGCATCTAATCATTGGTGCTTGATGAAACATAAAAGACGGAATTCAGACACCAATGAGTGACGTCACGTTAGCTACGTCCATGATGATCGCCATGGCTAATATCAGCCGATATGGTGATATTTGACTGACATATCAGCACATATCTAGTATCTACAGCACCCAGTTGTAGGCCAAGGGATTTAACAATATATAAAAGAGTTAGCCAATTAGCCCAAATCAAAGCCTAAAGTCTTGATATATAGTATTGCACTGTATTTAGCCGCTTTTGATATACATTTGACAAAAGTAGGTTTTCATAAATATGAAGGTTTGTGATGTGCGACATATTAAAGGGCTAAAAAGATCATCCCCTTGAGTGAATCTCTCTTGCTGCTATTTGTCACTTGCTTCAGGCAGACCGCCATACGGCAAAGAGTGGAACGTCTTCTGTGTTATGGCTCCTTTGTGATTTCAGTCGATAAAAACAGGCATATTTTTATAGAACAATCTTACCTCGTTCAGCTTTATTTAAAACCACATAAAAATGAAAACTCGGATTAGTTAAGAGGATCCAATTTCCATTTAAGAACTTCATCCTGACACAGCGTGCAGTCGCACAGTATATCCAGATATTCATCTCTAAGCAGCAGTAACTTCTGCTGCAGTCTCAGATGGCAAGGCAGGTAGTTTTACACAGAGGAGCTTTTGATTTCATCACGCCAGTGCAGGTACTGAGAATGATAAAGCTCTTTTAAAGTTTTGATTTTTTTTCTCCCTGTGAAAACTTTTAGGCAGGAATTTTGTAAAGCAAAGAGGTTGTGCTAGAAGTGTCAGGATACCTTTGAGTGCAGAATGTAATTATCCAGAACATCATGGAATTTAAAACTACCTGCCTCGCCACTCTAAAAATAATCAAAGAAAGGAAATATCACGTTTAGTAACCATTATCTGAAATTATTCTGCCCCCTGTGTCAGATTTGTGAAATTATTATTTTTTATTTCTCCCCAGCTGTAATTACAATCGTTGTAATGTTTAAAACTCCCATTGTGGTGTGCCCCGAAGGTTTAAAAAGTGCCTTCTATCATCTTTTATACATGTTCTGTCTAGCAGATTTTTTCTTGTTTCAGACATCCAATTACTATCATCTTTCTTGTCATCTTTCACACTCTTTAGACACATACAATCAGTCTCTTTTTCTGCCTTATAAATTAAAGGTGGATTAATATATACTCAAGAGCCATAAAAAGAGAATAAATGGCAGAACTGTACTGATGACACATCTGAGGTAAAACTTGATTTGGCTTAGTTATGAAGACTTGTCAGAGCTTTTCTGTTTATTTCTAACAAAGGAAAATGCAGAAATTGAATTGAAACGTAAGTATCAATACAACAATACTGAGGAAACTCGATGTTATTCTCGTGCTTTATGAAAACTACATTTCTTTACATTAGCTGCCGAATGTAAAGGAAAACAGACAAATCCAAGTTAGACAACACTGGAGCATTTCTTCAAACGTATTGGGTCCTAGAAACTGCAGCTGCACACTGCTGTATAGGTGAAACACAACATTTTCAGAACCCACAACATTCTGACCTGCATCCATACAACTGCTGACAACTCTCTGCAATAGGTAATATTCTGCCATCATGTCTGTGGCTAATGCACTCTTTCCTGCAAACCTGGCAGGAAAGTTGCTAGGTTTGCAAGGTCATCTACTGGACCTGTTATATATCTTGTCCACAGAATTTTCTAATATCTACATGTCAACATGCACTGCTGGTGGATACTAGCTGAGTTTGCCGAAGTGATCAGACGCTTCATTATATACTCCCCCATGTCTGCTAAGCTGTCTTCTTGTCTTTGATGGGCAAGGCTGAAACAACAGAACACAGCCCGTGAAAGCATGAAAGAAGAGAATCCCTTTGCTGTTCTCTAGTCTCAGAAATAGGCAAAGGTCATGCACAAGGATCTACTTCAGATTCTGTCCGTAGCCAAAGGCAATCAACAACTGCTGCACACAAATTTCCTTAAGGGCTAGTCGAACGCTGACGGCTCTTAGAAGAATATCTGACCCTGAAATGCTGAAAGATTTTTGTGTCTGCCTTGTCCTGACTGCGAGGAGCTATCTCATGAAGCTGTGTGCTTAGAGCATCTTTTTCTTTGGTCACAGTGACCAAAGAAACGTCCCAACATTTTGGAGTTGCCTGTGCAATTGTGTCAGAAAGGAGGAGTTCGGTTTTCCATGAGCTTGGTCTAAAATTTGCCCTAGCCGGTCACCTTTCATGTGATTCCACATTCTTGGTCTGGCCTCAATCTTCAAACTCAATGCCAGGTAGGTATCAAAGACGATGCATGTTCCCTTGGCTACAGAGGAATATTCTTCTATCGTGGGAAGATAGAAGAATATACACACTTAAGAGCTACCTGGTTGCAGACTTTATACCAATGAGGAACCGTCAGTGATGGTTACTACCTATGGCTGGTTGTCAGAGAATGCAAAAATCACCCAAGAAAGGCAGTACTGGGATTTCTGACAGCTGTGCTTCTTCTGCCATCACTCAGTGCTCCAGGGAGTGGGTGGTTCCTCTGACATAAGAACCACGCACTCCGAGATGGGTTGAACAGCCTGGAGATGAGCTGTTTAGAAGTTGTTGTTCCATTTAGTTGAGGTAACTTCTGTCAGCGTCAGGGTTTGTTTCAACAGTCAATCCAAGACAGCAGATTTTTTTATTAAACAAACTACTTTTACTACTAAACTATCTCTATACCTCTATACCTCTGCCATCTCGACCACCACATCCCCACCCAGTGTACTGGCAACAGATTATTCAGAAAAAATGGTTGTCCAAATTCAAAAACTAAGACCCTTTGTCTACAAATTACTGCCTCAACAGTTATTTCAGCTCACTGTTTATTGGTTCACAATCCCTGGTGTGTACCCACCCTTCACCATCAATTGACCTCCACATCCACCGGCACACCTGCTCGTGTTTTTCTGCCCTGTAACCACAGTACTGCCAGATTTTCTGTTTTGCATTCCTGCCAGAGTGGTCCAGCTTTTTGTCATGTTATCCTGCCTACCTACATTTATGTATGACCTCTGCCTGTATCTGGACTTACTCCTGCCAGCTTTCGCCCCCTCGGACTCCTCTGCCTCTCCTTGCTTTGATCATTGACCTACTAAACTTTGTTTTCGCTCCACCTTTTGTCTGGCTGTGATTTGCACGTCTGCGTCCAAACTTCTAAACTTCTACCTCTACAGTAGTGCGAGAATGAAATAATACTTTAGTGTGTGTGTGTGTGTGTGTGTGTTTCTTCTTTTTGTCACAATTCCCTGTAAATGTAAAGTAACAAGTCTGTCTCAGTGTAGTTGGAAGTCTAGCTCGCGGTAAGCTGAGGTAATGCGGTGCTTCTCCTACTGTAAATGCAGCACGGGGGATTAGTCTGTTCGCTGAGTGAACTCTACTTGACCCCGGCACACTTCTCGGGCTTTGTGCTGCATAAATTCACTTTAAGCACCACTGTCAATCAAAATAGCAGCGAATGTAGTGAAACATCACAGGTCTCTTTCATGATTAATTCATGTTGAACACAGCACCTGCAGTGGCTCCGCTGACAATTTCCCCGCTTCGTGTTCTTTGAAATTGCATGTGTGTGTGTGTGTGTGTGTGTGTGTGCATGCCTTTACACATGTATGATTGCATGTGTGTGTGTGGATTAGCAGGGTGTGTGTCATATGTGTGAGTTTAGGGTGTGAGATTCATGCATAGTTAATGCCCCGGCAGACCTTCGTTAGTGGTAACACACACTTTCATCATTATACGCAGTCTCTGCCATTATAAATCTGTCTCTGTCATTATACTGACTGTGTCATTACTGCTGCATAGGCTGCTTCTGTTGCTTGCGAGCAAGCATGGGGGAGAAGACTGGGGGAGCTGCAAGGGAGGAGGGGAGAAAAATGTGAATGTGTGAAAGAAGGGGAAAGAGGTGTTTAAGGTGATATAGAAGCTACATGGGGAAAATGGTGCTCCACAGAGATAAATAAAGAAATGAATTAGTTTTATGATTTAAATAAAGACTTATGTCTCAGTCTTATAGTTAGGATGGGGATCTTGCCACTGATTAACTTCTCGGCAGTTCATCCTACAAAGAAAACTTTATATATAAAGTTAACAAGGTCTAAAGCCAAGTAAATGCTGCTGGAGCGGGGCTGTGGGTTTCTTGAAATAGAGTTAAGAAGGTGCTGATTGAAGATATTTACCTGGGGTAATAAACACACTAGAAGCTGCTTGGCAGATTTTCTGCTGCAATAAAATGTATTTTAAAGTTTTGACTCGAGCGAAACTGGAAGCTTGTAAAATCCCCAGCCTCCTTTGTGTCAAAGTCATTAGATATATCATTTGAGAGAGCTAGAATTTGGATTTAAAGCTTCAGTGATTTGAAGTGGGTTTTAGTGCTGTAACTATAATCTGCGCATCATGTTTCTTCTCAGAACAGAAACTTAAAAATAAAAATGTCAGCAGTCCAGTGTTGTGGAACCTTCATTTTCATGGACTGCACTGCATCCCCTTTAGGGTTTTACAGTTAAAACTCATGCTGCACAATAATGTTTAATATTTAGTATTTACTGTTACATTCACATAGATCATCGTGATGCTGTTTATTATGTTGCTCTTTTTTTTCTTCTTCTGCTTGTTCTCTCTTTTTTCTTTCTCAACAGGTGATCCAGGCGATTGATATTTGTATTTTTTGTCTGCTTATTTTGTTGTTTTTTGTTGTTTTTGCCCTTTATCCCCGTCCCTCTTCCCCGCTGTTTTTCTTTCCCTTTCTTTCTCCCCTTTCTTTTCCCCAGTCAAGTCTGTCCCGTATTTAACAAGTGAAAATAAAATAAAATAAACAATAAAAGGTGAATCAAATAGACCATTGCGGCAAGGCAGGGATGGTCCATTTGGTAAAGTAAATCCGTTGGGCATCTTTCTTTGCCTTTAGACAATAATTCTGATGGCAAAAGAGCCAAACGGGACAGGCAAGAAAAAAAATAAATACAAATTGTAAAAAAATTAATTGAATTGTCACCCTAAAGAAAGTACAAGTGTTTCTGGCACCACTTTATAATAACTATTAAATATATAACAGGACTCCTTTACAGTTTAAAAAAACAACAATAAAATGAGGTGAAATGATATTTCCTAATTGGCTAACTGGTCTGTTATCTGAATGGTTACTGTAAAGTTAGAAATGGTTAACGAATACTGAATCCAGAGTCATTATTCTGACAGCTGTGATGACGGTAAAACAGATTTTAAAACATCCTGCATCACTTATGGTTGTCATTGCAGTTTGCTTTATGCACAACTACTCACAAGCTCCACTGTTATGTTATGGTGTGAATATAACTGTTATCTCAGCTATTAACTAAAGTTCAACTACAGTAAATGTGAACTGACTACGGCAGGATGAATGTGATCTCAGAACACTTAATAAACATCAGTGTGATATGACGAGACACAAGGAGAGCGCAAGGTAAAGAAATGCCGCGGCAAATTGCTCACACTGTGAAGGTAATTGGAATAAAGCTGTCACTACCATGAAATATTCCCAGAAGAAAATCCCAGGAAAGAAAAAAAAAAATCCTTTGCCTTTTGGTTTGATTTTCATGGAACAAACATTTCTGTGACACTTAAATTGATGTCCTCATTTTCCATGTGTGTTTCCTAGACATGCAGACGCCCTGCTGTGACGGAGGAAACAAACAAGCACTTCCCCCGAACACCACACACACACGTGCTGGAACAGACGTACACGGTATTTTACAGCCGCAGACATCAGTGAGAACTCAAACTAAGAGTCTCTTTCTCTCTCTTTCGCCCTCTCTCAGGCAAGCAGGTGGTGACTTACATCTTGGTTGCTCATGTCCCAGTAAGGTCTCTCCCCATATGACATCACCTCCCAGGTGACGATCCCGTAACTCCAGACATCTGAAGCTGACGTGAATTTCCTGTAGGCGATCGCCTCTGGTGCCGTCCACCTCACGGGGATTTTACCTCCCTGAGAGAAAAAAAAAAAAGGGGGAAAAAGAAAAGAAGTAAATAAATAACTAAGGGCAGTAGGGAAGGAAAAAAGGATTTGTAGCTTTATACCTGATAGTTCTGCTTACGTATTCGTCACATAGTTCTTAGCTGAAGTCTCTTATCAGACATGGTGGTGAAAACTGTGCATTATGCACACGTGTGTTAAAAAAAAAGAAAGAAAAATGGCAAATTTTGAGGTGAAATTTAAGGGCAGGCAACATGAAATTTCCTACTTTTTTTTTTGTTCTCGAGTGTGGAAGTGTAGACAAAGCAGATGCTTGATAGCATCCACCTGCTTCACGTAGACAAATCCACATCTGCCTGCTGTTGTCTTTTCTAATGAAGACAAAGTAGTGCGTAAACAAAAACGTCTTCCTTCTGACTGCTGAGTGAAATCCAGGATAAAAGGATGCATTGCCATATGCTGGTTTGGCTGGTGTATCAAATTTAATATATTAAAGGAAATGCTTAAGACAAACATTTCTTTTTAATAGACTCATTTTTAAGTCAGGCAAGCGACATGAGTTTAAGGCAGTGCGTATTTAATCCATCAGGCAAAAACTTTTCTTTAACCCGACCCTGGTCCTAGATCTCTGTATTTACTTTAGTCTTTAATTCTGGTTAGTTTTGTGCTCTGGGTTTTGTTTGCATTTTGAATATTGGTTTGGATTTATTTATTTGCGTGTTTCAGTTTAATCTAGTTTTCTTGTTGTTTCTTGTCAAATCTCAAATCTTCCTCTCTGTGTTATCCTAGTAAGGAGGTACCACCGTGTTTCACGACAGATAGATGCGAGCAAACACAATTGAGCACACTGAGTCACGTAGTTTTTGTTTAAGGAGATTCAAAAATATTCCCAGGCTGTACCCTTCCCTTGGAAAGGCTAAAACAGAATTTGTATTTGGAAAAATAATGTGAATAGGTTTTGATGTATCAAAATGAATCGTTCCCTGATTAACAAGACCTGGGAAAGCAATGAAATAAAAACAAAACGTACATATTTTTGATTCACAGGAGCTAAAGTTAAAGTCAGTGACATCACTGATGAAGATTTAAAACTAATTTAGACTTCTGTGGTGAATCTTGGTCCAATCAACGATGCAACCAACAACAACCTACAACCAAAGTGCTAGTGTTCATGTCCCATGGCCCACTCTTGACTTGTGAGTCAGGTTGTGAGTTTGAGGCTCTGATTATTAGTTTTCTCACTAATAAACTCAAAAACTGCAGAGAAAACGTAGCTGAATGCACAGGATGAATCAACGGTACTGAACAGGCCAATCACAATAGTCCTTACATTTACGTGCAAGTACATTACACGTCTGTGGAGGGTTTTCACAAAAGCATAAATCTGTTTTTAGACCTCAGAGGGTTAAATTATGAATTATATTTGTTTCCCAATAGGATAGCCTGAATCTTTATTCTTCCCATGGAGTACAGTACTCTGATTTTTCATTGCGAGTTCAAAATATCGCTTAAATTTATGATCTCTTAAGCTTATAATTGAATTTTTATCGGCCTCAGGGTTAACATGCTGTGTGAACAATATGAACAGCCAGGTCTATGCCTATAGGTCTATAGGATTAATGGCCAATGCAGGACTGGCGGGATATTAAAAAAAAAAAGACACACTGAACGTTTTTGTGTGCAAAGGCATCTAAACTGTAAAAGGAACATCGTGAGTGGCTCAACACAGTTTTTATTAGCGAGCAAGCTTGTGAGTACAGTCACAACCACAGGGACGAGTGAGAAGCGGCAGAAACAAATAACACAAATTGTTACCTTCAAGCAGTGTGTGACAACATGTTTAATGTAATCAGTCAAGCACATTTTAATTTAAAGTATTAACATTCAGCTCAAAGCACAGATGAGCTGAGGTACAGCAGCGGGCCCGTGAAGTCCGGCTTAGATTGATGAAAAATCGGTGTGACAATGCACCGGCGATCTGACAAGCTGAGTCTTTCTAAAATGTCCAACTCACCACCCGCAGGACAAACTTCAATCCGGCCTTTATCAGTTTAGTCTTAATTAAGATTCCAGACTGGCTGCACCACACAGATAAGTGTGTAGAAACAACACATATCACAGTCAAATTGTTAAAAGTATGTATATATAAAAATACATTTCAATCATTTTAAATAAAAGCCTCTATAAGGTAGATGAGTAATGACAAAGAAAGTTCTGACTGTCAAATATAATTGGTCGACAGTACTTGGACTACAAATGGACTACAAATTGAAACCACTATGGTTTGGATAGTCTTATCCCTTTCCTACATATTCTATATACATTCACTTGCCACTTTGTTAGGTACACCTCTTCAACGGCTCATCAACACAACCTAATGCCTAATCAGCCAATTACACAGCAGCAGTGCAATGCATTAAGGCATTAGAAGACATGGTCAAGTAAACCTGCATTTAAAGGGGATTTAGGTGACTCTGAACGTGGTAGGCTACAATTCACAAAGGCTTGCCAAAATTGGACAACGCACAAGATTAGAAAAATGGCAACTGGTCTGATGAATCCTAAATTCTGCTGCAACATTCGGATAGTACGGTCAGAATTTGGCGCTAACAACATGATCTGTGCCACGAAGAATGACTGCAGTTGTGAAGGGAAAAGAGGTACTAGGTAGGTGTACCTAATAATGTGTATATTGAGCATATAAATATAATGAAATCTATTTAAAGGGAAGAAATGTTGGGTAGTTCTTAATGACAGAACTGAAAACTTTATTTTAAATGGTAATGGACTGGTTCTTATATAGCACTTTTCTACTCATCTGAGCACTCAAAGCGCTTTACACAACTTGTGCATTCACCCATTCAGACAAGCACATCTTTCTAAGTGCTTTATAGCTAACATTCACACTCCGATGGATGCATCAGAGAGCAATTTGGTGTTAGTATCTTGCCCAAGGATATTTGGCATGCAGACTAGGGGAAGCCAGGAATCGAACCACCAACCTTCCAATCAGTAGATGACCTGCTCTACCACCTGAGCTACAACCATCCCGTAATTTTAAAATGATTGACCTACTTGTAAAATAGTTAAAATTTGCATTTGCACCAATCCAGAGACTTTTCATTTTCTGTGTGTTAAACTGTGGCAGACCAAAGTTCTTAAGTGGTGCATCTTTTTATCTTTTAATAAATGTGAGTAACAGGCCAGAATCCTGGTAAAGAAAAGCTACCACTTCAACAAACATTTTGCCCACCTTTGGTCTGCAGAATGAAGGAATGCAGAAGGAAGCGTTAGTGTGTTTTTAGCTTACGTACCAGCGAGCTGGTGTAGGTGGGGTCGGAGGTGTCCTCCTCCAGATAACGTGATAAGCCGAAGTCAGACACCTTACACACGAGGTTGCTGTTAACCAAGATATTTCGAGCTGCCAGGTCCCGGTGAACATAACTCATCTCCGCCAGGTACCTGTAACATCAACAGGAGTTATTGTATGAATTTGTGTTATCTGTAGCCAGCTACCTAGGCTACTATAAAAAGGTAATGGGATTTAGAGTTATGTGTACGTGTGTGTGTGTGTGTGTGTGTGTGTTTGTGTGTTTGCCTGTGAGTGCATGTTATCACTGCCAGCTACCTCGATAAAACAGGAATAGGATTTAATGTATGTGTATACAGTAACATGTTTTTGTGCTATCACAGCCTGCATTTAACACAGATAGGCTCTAGTGTGCGTGAGTTTGTGTGTGTGTCTGCCAAGCTGAAAATTTGCAGTTTTACCAGTGGATTCAAATGCAGCGTATAGCGGAGGTTGCATGTGTTTATGTGCGTGCTCATATCAATGTATGTGTCCATGCAAGGAGTCGTCAGGATGTGGAGACAGTGCATCTCAAGCTGCTGATGCACATGTCCAGACAGCATCGAATATCACCACATGAAATCTCAACATCTGAAAGAACTGATATCACCAGAACGAAATCGAAATCCTCATACCCATGTCTGAAAGATTAGAAAAAGTTTCTTCTCCATCTTTATAGTAAAATGGATTTCTGTAGTGGGATATGTGTGTGTGTGTGTGTGCGTCTGGGTGTGAGTGTCAGTACCTCATTCCAGATGCGATGCCCCTCATCATACCAACCAGCTGGATCACTGGGAACTGCCCATCATTTTGCTGTGAAACCATGAACCGACAGGATTATTCTTATTTTCCATTATCAGACTTTTTCACTTTAGTGCTTTAGAAAGAATCTTGCAGGTAAGAAGATTTATTACCACTTCACTGAAAATGTCATAAAAGAAAAACATTTTTTACCCCCCCCCTCCCCTTCCCTTCCCTATTTGGTGATGATGGTGTGTACATGTGGTACGTTGTGTTAAAGTTGCATAAAAAGAATTTGATCAAGATGATGCAAGTAAGAAGATTCCATTTTCTGCTTTCACTTCTTTGCTCATACTGTGTTCGTGTTGGCACAGGCTGGCACAGGCTTAAAATACAGCATCTGAAACCCAACTATTGCTTCTTACTTCTGACCGCTTTAATAACTTTGCATACACCGACACACTAAAATCTTCAAGCACACGTCCTGCTGCGTGTTGGCCAGAAGGTTACAGAAACAGGTTTATGACCGGAAGGCTGAAATCTAGGTGGAAGAGTGAAAATGAATCCCTTTGACCTTTCCTCCTTACAACCACTGTGGTGCCCTTAGGAAAAGCCTTTAACCCCCTAGAGCCCAGCAAGTCAGACTGTGGTTAAAATTTGCAGCTTCCAGGTGTGTAAATGTGATATACTCAAAGGACGACTATCCTTCAATAAATAACGGTAATTAAAAAAAACTGAAAAGGGACCAAGAAATTGCAAACTGTGTCAACGCTAATATAACAAATGCTTTTACTACTAAGCTATTTTTCACACGTGAACTCTGAGCAGTGATCTGCAGTTGACCTTCCGCACATGCGGCACACAGCCGTAGAGAGTTCCCTTCAAACGCTTTTTTAAGCTTCAGATGCCCCGTTCGGTTTAGATAGTTGTGCGTCCTGGAAAGGGTGTGCAAGAGGCAGGAAACAAGATAACCACTCCACATTATTACCTGCACTCTTCTCTTGAACATCACATAGACTTTGTACAAAGGATCTGCAGGGTTCAAGACTGTTTACTGTGACCATGTGGGATATTTGCTTTTTTCCCCACACGGAGCTCACAGTCGGGTGACGAACAGAAAAGTTCAGGGCAGCAGTGCGTGTGTGAAAAACACCCTGAAAAGAGTTAATTGAAACGCTGTGATAAAAGTGTTACAGCAGGCATTTTGGACCAATACAAAGTAAACAGCTGGAAATTCTACAAAGCCTTTTTGCCGTCAGATGTAGCTGGATGTCAGCTAGTTTAAAATAAGTTTAAGCAAACAAGGTGCATGACCACCTTTATTGTTTATCACAGCCTGAAATGCAGTTTATGCTGACATTCAATAAGGAAAAGCTTTTCACATTCATCTGTCTGCATTCCTGGGTGTTCAGGCTGCTAGTCTATTCTTTACATCACTTCGGCTTTTCCACGCTTTCAAACTTAATTCTGTCATCATCGCTCTGAGCATTTTCTTTTTTCACGTCTTCTGCTAGCCAATCAGCCTTTAACTCAATGCTTCTCTGCCATAGTGCCTTTCAGACTCTCATTCATGTGACAAGTCTCCTCAGAAACTCAAAATCTCCATCTGCTTCCTCTCTGCCACCACCTGTATGTAAATTCCAGGAGGTCCTGTGCTATTAGCAACATTGGGCCCTGCTCTACTTTGTAGCTTCAGCTGAGATCTAATAGCCAAATACTCAAACTCTATAAAAACCTTCTCGTAATTTCTTCAAGTCATCTTCAGAAATACTTCTCCAGGCTTCTTTTAGGACATTCAAAGCTCCTCTTTGGATGTTGGCTGCATTTTGTTCTAATCTCTGTAAAGATGATCCCACACTACTTCAATAATGTTGAGGTCCGGGCTCTGGGGAGGCTAATCCATGACTGATAGTGTTTATTGTGTGTTTTTCTATCCAGTTATGCTTTTACTGCATTGACAATGTGTTTGAGGTCATTGTCATAGTCAAAAACGAAGCTGTTGCCAATCAGACAGTGTATAAATAGTATGGGATGGTGGCTGCCTTTCACTGACTGAAGTGCAGCCCCAAATCGTGTCAAAGTCACAGATGGCTGTAGACACTCACTGCTGTACCTCATTCCTGACCTCCTTGGTACATACTGATGAGGATCTCAATTCATTCTCAGTTCAGGTTTACTTACATAGCACCAAATGACAACAGTTGCCACAAAGCATTTCATACTGTAAGATAATGACCCCAAAGGATTTGAACTAAAACCTTCAAATTTGGATTCATCATCATCCGTAAGACCTGTTGTCACTGATTTTCAGTCCAATTCCGGTGTAATTTAGCAGAACCTTTTCTCCCCGTTTCCCATCCTTAACAATGGCTTCTTGACAGCCACCCTTCCACCGAGACTATTTCTGATGAGGCTTCATTAAACAGCAGATGGATCAGCAGATGCATCTCTCAGGTCCTGTATCAGGTCTTTGCTGGATTTTTTCCTTATCATTTCTTGGCATTCTTCCAACATGTTCTCATCCCAAAATGTAACATATTGTGTGTGTGACAAATCCTCGGCATGTTACGCTCTCGGCCACCCAGCCCCTCTGCGTGTTACACGTTCGGAAATGTCAGGAAACATGACAACCGCTTGGGAATGAATCTACACATGTACCTTTATTTTACTTTCTCATCACTAATTGCTTTAGAAAACACTATCTGATACAATTAAGACTTTAGTTAAGGTTAGAGATAAGGTTATGGTTAGAGTTAGGATTAAGGTTGGGTTTGGGCTGGAATACACGGCTGGAGCGTGTGTTACCGCCAGGAGTGTCATTCTATTGAATTCCACCCACAATCCGGTGCATATCAAAGGGACACAGGAGAGTACCTTTTGCGTTTCTATGGGATGCCTCGGGACGTAACAAATCGTCAGGAATGAGAACGGTCTGCATTCTTCGCAGACTCAAATAAAGAAATTGGAACAAATGATGTGTTTTTGTGACAAGCTGATAATAATAAATTGCCCATAGACATAATTTAAAGTTGGTTATTTGCCCAGCTGCATGTCATGTGTGGACAAAACAGTGCTTTATTCCTTGAGGTAGATTCATTTTTATTCCTAATGATTGTTAATTCAGAGTTACAACAAACATTCATGTGAAAATGGGCAGGTGGAAGGACTGGATTGAAAATGAATGAAAAAGCAGCCAATGTCCAAAGAAGAAAAACTTTGGAAGACCTTCAGAAAGTCTGGAAAGCCGTTGCTCAAGACCGCTTGGAAACATTTAAAGAAAGTCAGTCTCCTTGGAATAAAAAAATATGAAGAAATGAAGGGTCGCTCCAGACTTTTGCATAGTACTGAATAAGAAAAAGAAGTACAAAAAAAAGAAAGAGAGAAGGAAAGAACGAAAGCAAGTTGACCAAGACTATACAAAGGTGGCTTGGAAAGTTAAGAACGTTCCTGTTTAGAGCTGCTGGAGGCTTTGTTGGATTTTTTGATAAAACTCAAAATATTTGCCTTTTTGCTACCTCACCTCTGGGCCAGGCTGTCTCTGCTTCTTATAAACATCACTGACATCCCCCACTGACATCTCTGCAGTCGAAGGTGTGTGTGTGTGTGTCTTTTAATTCACTTTGCGCATCAAACCTCACCTTTGATGCTCCTCTAGCCTAATCCTCTGCAGGCAAAGACCTTCTTCTAGGCACACTCACACACACACACGGCATTGATCTTTTGGGTCTTGTGCCTCCAAGATGGTCACGCTAGGACAGCAACACCAGTAAGATCGATCATTGTGTTTGTGAATGTGTGTGTCTGTGTGTGTGCATGAGTCATCGGGTGATTTCTGAGTCAAAAGGGGTCATGCTGTGAGAACCAAACATCAAAGAGTTTCTCTTTCTGTTTTTAGAGGCGCCTCAAAAGGAGGGCAGGATCAAAGAGACGGACAGACTGACAGACAGTCAGGCTGGCAGGATGAGGCGGAAAGAGCACAGGAAGGAAGAGAGGAGAAAGGGAAGCGCAGGAGGCTATTTCTGTCTTTGTGTCTATTTCTTCAAAAACTTACAGTCCTCCTCTCTCCAACTGTTGCTCTGTTTGGTTATTTAGTTTGAACCGAAGGTGAAGGTGCCTATACTCAGCTACCGGTTTATTAGGTATGCCTAATAAATGAACAGATCCAGATCTGGTAGAGGTATTAAATATCCCAAAAGCATGTGATATAACACTGTACCATGTCAATGTGTGATGCTCAATCGTAATTTTTATCATTTGTATTTCAGAGTGTAAATCGTGTGTTTCTTCCTGTCAGGCTGAAGGTGATGTTATCTTCATTTTTCTTAAGCCTCATGTTGCGTTCTAGATGATAAATGGTTGGGAACTGAACCTGACCAACCACACCATTAGCACCTTGAGCTGCTGAGCAGTGCTGTCCAGACAAGTGATGGTTGTTCTTAGAGTTGCTAGGCAAAAACTTGCTGTAAATGTGGAAAGCTTTTTTTCCCTCTGTTTACGTTGGAGAAAAGTGTAGTAAGCCTTAATTATTAAACTTTAGTAAGCTTGGCTATGTCGGGGTTGATGCAGTTTATATTAATGGTTAAATACATCGACCCTCTCTGGACAGTAGCTGTGCGGTCGCACTCCTTATTCCTTGGGAATTTCCCCTCATAGGAACCTTAATCAAACGTTTAGATAACCCGATCCTGAAAGTGGTCTAAAGTGTAGCAGTTACCCTGAGAAATGAGTCCAGTGCTCCATTCTCCATGAACTCTGTGATTATCATCGTAGGCCTGCTCTTGGTGACCACGCCCTCCAGTCTGATGATATTTGGTTGGTCAAACTGGCCCATGATTGAGGCCTCTGACAGGAAGTCCCTCCTCTGCCTCTCAGAGTAGCCCACCTTCAGGGTCTTGATGGCCACAGGGATTTCTTTTTTCCCCACAGGTTTCAGGCGACCTTTGTATACCTCACCGAACTCGCCTGAAAATATAAAAGGAGTCAAATTAAAGCAAATTCCGTTTTTTTCCCCAACAGGACAAAAAATGTGCACTAAAGTATTCCTTAACTTTGAACTCTTAAATAAACAATTTACCAATAAAATGGTATACTAAATGATTGCATTTTAATCCCATTAATAGTGTAAAACGGGACTCAAATAAAAAAAAGAGGCTCGAGTTCATACTGAGCACATTCTTCTTTTCAATTGGATGACTTAGAGAGTCGTGTGTGTGACGGAGTGCAAGTTAAACATTCAAACACTAAAAGTCTAAAAGCTGCCATCTGCACCCTCGCTGTCATACTGATGGCCACTGAGCAGCTTCACCGGATTAGATTGAGGTCGAGGGGTTTTGCTCAAGGGCACTTTTTATTTTTTATTTTATTTATTTTTCAGAATGAAAGAACAACAAAAATTGGATCCCCTCAATAACGGCTCAAGGGTGAGGAAAGGTTGTGTAGCAGAGGTGGCAAACAAGATAAAAGGGACAGTGCCACTGTTGTTGCTTGGATACTTGGTTTTGCACATATTCCTCAAATATAATCTCTCAGTTAAATAAAGTCGGCCCGGGTTAAAGTGCTGGATGGAAATAGTGCGCTGCTAAGGCCATATCAGGTTTGCCTTTTCATTAGAGTCTAAAAGAAATGTAAAAAAAAGGGTCAAAATGAGCAGAGACATTTTGACCCCATCATCAGTCACGTGTCGTAATTCAACTATAAACTATAACAACGTTAACAATGCGCCTTTTTTCTTTTTTTTGTTTTACACTTCCTTATTGTGACTTTTGAAACAACCAGGTTTCACAAGCCACATGATTATTCTTTCTGCTAATCCCATCAGCATTTTTAGTTTTTGCATTGCTTTATTGAAGATATACTGCATAGCACCTCCATAACAGAGCGGACAGATGGCCGAAACACTACGATTTTCCTTCCTCTGTATACTCACTACAGCAGAAATAAATACAATACACAATATGGACAATACAGCATGCAAAATACCACAATTTATGTGCTAATGCAGTTGAAGTGCATGCTACTATCTACCTTCTTATAGAGTCCCACCCTCAGTAAGTGACCTGCCCAAAGGCTGTGCTTCCAAAGTGTTTGGAACAAAGGAAAATAATTCATGTTCTTTTTTTAACATAACATCAGTTCACAACAAGTCACCAAGGTGGAATAAGAAAATACAAGCAAATGCAACTTCTCCAAATAATAACAAAATACGCGAAGGAGATTCATTTTACCTTTAATAAAACTTTTAATAACAGAGTGTTTACTTCATGCTTTTTGTGCATGAGTATGTGCTGCACATTAACATTATAACAATATATCTGATTTTTTTTTTTTACTGTAAAATGAGATCCTTTTAGTCCGTTATGTCATTTCCTGTTTTATTTTGATGACCTCTTGTCTCTTGTGCTTTGTATTCATATCTACTTCCCCCGTCTTGTCATTTGTAATTAGTTTCAGGTGATTTCTGCCTGCTGGCTGTTCCCTCGTTATCGTCTGTGTGTACATGTTAGCTGTGTCCCAAAAGAGGCCGCATTTGAAGGCCGATTACGTCACAGCCAGGCGACGAAGGCTGTCCCAATTCGTCGACTCCTTCAAATGCGGCC